TACACAAAGAGACAAAATCCCTTCAAATACGAAGATGAATACGAACGGCCAGATGGTCAAAACCGGATTCCCTGCTGGAAAATTGCAGATGTCGCGAAATCAACGACGCATGGCTAACTACAACATGAAAAAGTATCAAGAAGCTCCACTTCCTGAAAGTTAGGCTGATGATCAAGAGCCCAAATTCCTGACCGCCCCCGCAAGCCGCGTGGAAACAATGAGCGGCAGAAGAGCCGCGCCCAAAACTGGCACGCAAGCAGGAAGCAAAAGACCGAGGCAAAAGAAGCGGGTCCTAAAGAAATTCGAGACCCCGCAGAGCTCACCGCCGGAGTGGTGAAAGCATCCAAAGAACGTATCGTGGATGAACCACTCTGGCAGGAGGGTCCCTATTCCGGGACTCATCCGGTCAGGAGGATATACAGTCATAATTTGGACTTTTCAACTTTCCCCCTACTGTGTGAACGCGTCTACGCTGACTTGGAGGCAGAGAACCCTCGCCTCCGGTGTGAAATGCCATACTGTGCATTTCAGCACGTGATGACGAGTCAACTGAACGCCATACTGATCGATCATGTCCGTACCATAAATGCTGAAGACAGATACAGTGATGAGGCTAGCCCACTGAATCTTATCCCAGACACTATGTATACGCCGACACCGATCATGGAGTACTTTAAATCAATCGTCAACACTACAACTCCTCAAGGCGATCTCGTCAAAGTGAATGTGCCTGACGTCGCTATCCCAAAACAGAGAGTCCCTCTGTCCCTATATAATATATATATATAAGACTCATTAAAATATACATTAACAATGGATTTAATATAGAGCTTGTCCTTTCTAAGTAATTTTAATGAAATTAAACACGGTATTAACCGATTCGTGTAAAGAAATTATTTCGTTCTTTCAATTTGACGTTAATGCATTAAAGTGCAAACTGATTATGAATTATCGAATGTACGTTCGTAAAGGTACATATATGTCATTACCGCATGACAAGAGCCATTTTATTTGACGACATAAACATATTATTGTTCAAAATCGATAATGCATGTTGCGATTGCTGTAACAATTGCAAATGCAACTCAGATGTATCAGATATAGCAGAGGAACTTACATGAATGTTGGTATTACAATACTCAATAAATTTTAGGTGCCGAACGATCATTAATGGGACCACTGGTTTTTCTTAAAGAAGTACCTTTTCGTATTTGATCCATGAGAGAATCTCTGACTTGTAAAGGATCCATAATAGGTACACGATTACCCATTATACGTCTCACACTTGCTGATCTACTCGTTGTATTATTCCCTTGCAAACTTTGTTGTTGTTGTGCTAACTTAGCATTTAATGTTTCAAGAAAGCCAGATGATGTCTTAGAATTTTTACTTATCTGTTGTTCAATGGAGTGCTTTCTAGAAGACTTAGGGCTATTACTTGTATTGTTACCACTCGTGGTATTACCTGTGCTGCTAATGAGTTTCGCACTGAGAACTGCCATAAAGCTTTGACCAACCCCTCCCGGACCTTGCCCTTGAATATTTACAGCCGCGTTGACCGCAGTCATTTGTGTAGTATTTGAGCCACGTTCTTGAGAAGCTGAACGAATTGCTGCGCATGAACGTTCGACGGAAGATCGAGTTACTTGCAATACAGCATTATGTGGTAATGTAGCAGATGAGTTGTTATGCGCTTGTGCTTGCCCTGTAGCCTTTCGTAAGAGAGAAGGGCTAGCAGGAGTATGACGTAACTCTGTAAGGGTCCTTACTGTTTCTGATACTGAGATAGATCTGCAATATATTACGTTATGCTAACGTCCTAGATGCCGCATAAGTACTTCACTTCGACAGAAATAAAACAGAATTGCCTCTTACCGTTGAGGAGTAGGACTGGCTGTAGGTGAAGAACTTTCTAACAAAAATGCTGGTGGCGGAGGAAGATTTTCAGCTTCGTCGCAAGTATGATCAGTGCGTTCATCACTCGAACCTGATGAAGGATTATTAAACGTTGCACTTATAATAGTAGATGTACGTCTTGTTGGTGGAAGGGGTTTATTCGCTTGCTGCATCGATCCTCTACGAACTGTTAAAGTAGGTGCAGCACCAGGTACGTTCCACGAATTCTCATTTTGATTATGAAGCGAATGAGAATGTGGTATAGTAGTTTGACTTCCATATCCACTACTAGATTCGACACTAGATTCTGATGTTTGACTTCCACCATCTTTTTCCATAACTTCAGTCTATAAATGCGTTTGTGTAAGCACCAGTAGTTAGAAAAATCTATATGTCATTGCATATACCGCAATATGTACCTTTTCAGTTCCTGGTGCTGATAGTGATGCAGGAGGTGGTGGTAACGGTAACTGCATCTCTTGAGCGCGGCTTGCAGCAAGATTTGCTAATTCATGCATATTCACATACATTGGTTGCTGAAGTTGATGACTTGCTAATTCTGTATTATACCATAATATTATATACCATCTTTCGAACATTAGTATAAATGATAAAGAATAATAGAGACCTTTTGCTAAATGTGCTGGAAGTGGCAACTTGGGTTTGCCTCGAGGACTTCCAGGAGGTTCATTTTTCACGGAAGCTGATGGTCGTTCTAAACTGGAACATCTGTTCGGTATAGGAGGACGATTACTACCATTATTCCTACGCAATTGTACTCTGGATGTTTGTTGATTAGAGGAAGAACATGAAGAGGAAGAAGAAACTGGAGAAGCGGGTTGACTATGGCAACAGCCACTATTATCTGGAGCTTGGAATGTGTAGACGCTGAGTGCTGGTCTTTGATGGCCTTTCTCATAAGCTACAATGATAGTTGGTATTATATTACAAACAATGAATGATATTTTTCTTTAAATATAAATTTCAAACAATAATTTTCTTACCTGAAGAGATTGTATGCGGTCGTTCGTTGATTGTGTTCTGATTTTGCCTATCGAATTGGACTGATGTTTCCTGTAAGTCAGGCCAAGTAGCAGTAGTTACAGGTCTTGTTGTAGTACCAGTATTTTTATTAGTTTGAGAAGACACATTTGATACCTAGGACAACACAGTTTAACCTCAACAACATAACTAAAACATTAAACTCAGAAAATACAATGCTTTGATTCACTGTTGCAAATAAAAAAGAAATGTGTGAAGTGCTAGCAGGCAACTAGTTTCTAGCAACCTTACCTGATGTTCAGAAATTGGTTGTGTATACAATGTGTCCTGAGAAGTAAAGCCGGAGTCACGGGAACTACCATTTACCAAGTGGCGCAGCGTCATCATACCACTGATGCTGGAGGGCCTGACACCGACAGACTACAACGAGTACAACATCGACTACCACATACACTAAGCTGATGCCAAATGGCATATATATGCTATGATCTACAAGCAACTACTTGCTTGAAATACGGCTAGTGCATAAACAGTAAAACTAGTATGCCATGCATTATAAAGGCTGACATTCTTAATACAATGATTAAGCAAAAGGGAAGAAAACTTAATATCAATTCTTTTATGCTGTTAATGTTTTCACCTGAGACAGTGATCTATGCCAAGGATGTCCAGATGGACTTGGATGGCTTTTACAAGAACCACTGCTGCTACTTGTTAAAGAGCTGATTGAACACATTGAACTTTTCCTTGATCCAAGAGATAAAGAAGGACTTGAAGGAGGTGTAGCAAGAGACCATTGTGCAACATCACAACCTTTTATGTCTGTTATCACTTGTTCTGATGCAGGAGGCAAATGATGTGGAGAGGCTGCATGTCGTTGTAATTGATCAGAAACCTCTTGAAGGTGAGTCAGTTCCATTAACATTGCAATTTCTTCATCCTACGTTTTTTTGCACATGTTATTAAAACTTTTATTTGGAATTATATTCGTAATCATTTAGTAAATACAATTAATTTTACTAACAAGTACTGGTTTCAAAAATCTAGCAAGAAGACAATATCTGCCTCTTTCTTCAAGAAGAGCTGCACGAACGGCTCTTCTTTCCGTTTCTTCTAAGCTTAAACGTTTTTCTTGAACAACAGCAGCAGAAGATTCTAGCATTCGATTCAATTCAATATCTCCTGATGATGTTCCATGGCTTTGTACGTGTCCTTGTAAGTGTTGACCTTTACGTGCTTTTTTCTTTTGCAAGCGTAATGTATCGGTAGATCGCTTTCTTAATTCTGTTTTTGCTTTTTTATATTCTGAAATTAACATAATTTTAGAAATATGTACTTATTTCTAAATACGTTTGAGATATACTTTAATAATTTTGTTAAATTTGATTAAGAAATTTATTGGGAAGTAAACTATTCTACCAACCTTTGGCATGTTCCTTATCTAAATTTATTAAAGATTTTTTCCAATCTTCTAGTTTTTCTTGAAGAGGCAACACCAAGCAATCCATAATAGCACTATTAAGTATGTTTAAATTAAATTTTCATTTAATGCATAAACTCCAAAAATAATTGAAATATAATAAAAGAAAATTACCTAGTGAATGATTTCATACGTGTTTCTACAGCTTTATGTCTAAGACATATCCGAGTTAAAGCAGTTCCAATTTCTTTTGTTGCTCCTTAATTGTAAATATTTTTTAATTTTACATTTGTTTTTACAAATAAGGGGATTGAAAAATATATAACTGAATTAGATACTAAGAACTAACATTTTAGAGCAATTACCATAACAAGTTTTGTAAATTAATGTTGTATAAGCAAATATTAATATGATCATTTATAATAAATAGAAGGGACTATGTATAAAACAAATTACCTCTTGCATTAGTTGCAGCATCAGCAATTTTTTGAAAAGTATCAAGATATGCAGAAATAGCTAGAATAGCAGCCCTAAAAAATAAAAATTAAATTAAACATATATTATTAGAATTTATATTTGAAATACAAGTTTGTAATAAATTTTACTTTTATTT